ATAGATTATCCTTTACCATGAATATCTTTTTCCAAAATACTTCAACTTATTTAAACTGTTTCTTTACTTATCTTTACAGCTCTATCAATGGGCGGTGGGGGGTGGGGTAGGGAAGGAAGAGGAAGGGGCAGGGGGAGTGAAGAAAACCCCTCTGCAACTACCAGCAGAGAAAGACTCCCTGATCTATAAGGAAATTCTTGAACTCCAGGTAAAACAAAGAAAATTATTGGGACTCCAAGTAAAACCAGAAGTGACACATGATGGCTAAATGCTGGAATCAAACAGACATCATTCTAATGCAGGGTCTGCCACTTGCCCGCTGTGAGACCTTGAGCAAATTATTTCTCTTCTTTGCAAAAGTGGGTAATCTGAGTACCCTTCTCAGAGAGTTGAGAGGATTAAATGCAAATAAAGCAGCAAAATTTGGTACACGGCCTGGCATAATAAAGCATCTATTAAATTGTAGGTGCTAGCAGTTTTATTCCTGTTGTAATATGTAAAATTAATAAATCGGACAAAAACATCTAGTCTGAGATACCCTTAGAAAATTAGACGGTTCTTGCTGTGTAGCTCCTTGACTACAGTATGAATTTAGCGTATGCTAGTGCTAAGTTTTGGTTTAAAAGCCATGTACTTATTAAAATGGATATTTGAGAAGAAAAACAAATGCATCTTTCATATAATCAATATCTCTGATACCTATCATTATTATTCCTGGGTGGTTCTATATGTAGCTGTCAGGCTTTCTATGAGAAAATTAAAAGATTAAAATTTTTTGCCTAACAAAATCAAACAAGAAAGCCATGTTGCTGTGATTGCCAAAATACCTTTTAAAAAGCTTAGTTTTGACATGATTTAAGAATAGTTATGAAAAACACGTTCAGAAAACTACTCATAAATTGATTATTCATCACCATCTCTTATGCGCACACATTAGTCTGCTGATTATGCCTTTTAAACATTTCTAAGAGATTTTGGTCTTACAGCTTCAATAAGCACGTAATAGAAAAATGTGTGAAAGATTTATGGGTATTTTTCTTTTTTCTTCCAGAGCAGGTAAAGATTTGAGACCTCAGTTGTCACTGGGTTACCTGTTTTGTGGCTTATTTCAGCTAGTGATCTATACTTTAAATGCCAGTATGTATGCACATTGTGTGCCATCGAGTCAATTCCAACTCACAGAGATCATAGAGACTAGAACTGCCCCATAGGGTTTCCAAGGCTGTAATTTTTACAGAAGCAGGCTGTCACATCTTCCTCCTGTGGAGTGGCTGGTGGGTTCGAACTGCTGACCTTTTGGTTAGCAGCCGGGCGTTTAACCACTGCACCACCATAGCTTCTAAGCATAGCATTTGATAATGCATTAATTCAGAAAAATTTCACCAGTTAAAACAGTAAGCTTTAAAAATCAAACTGGCCTCTGAGGCCCTCCTTCTGAGAAACTGCACACTCAGTAACAGCAGTGCCATCAGGAAATGGATGAAGACTCTGGAGAAACCTTATTAAGACATGAGGAGTGGTCTACAGCCAATATTTGAAAAATGCTTATAGTACATTTAATTAGTCTAATTACATGGTGCACTTACAGCTTCTTATTAATGCCCTCTGACAGAGATATGTTACTTCGGCCTTGAAAGCTTGGTGGCCGCAGTGCCTTAAAATGAACTTGGATAACTTCCAGGTGTTTCCGTTAGTCTCTTAAAGTTTGGAACAAGTTGCCACTGACAAGCGCCAAGTACTTGTTGGTTAAAAATGTGATATGCTTCTTAAACACTCAATCTTTTATGCTTGGTGAATTTAGCTAAGACAATGTGTTTCTATGATCATTGGGAGAAAGAATCAAACGGACATAACAGAAAATTTTCATTCCAAGCCATTGAAATGATAATTAAGACTGTCATGAACTAATCTCCAAACCCACTACTATTCACTCATCCTTCAGTACTAATGCTTTCAGTCGGCCGGTACATACTATTTAAGGACTACTCAAAATCAGCTCGATGCTCACTAGCAGGAGGCATGTGATACAGCATTTTTACAAAAAGCATGCAAATTTCATTACACTGTGAAGCCATTTCCATCTATATTCAACATGCCAGTAACTTTTCATACTGATGTTTGAGATTTAATGCAATAATTTCATTGAAAAAGAAATATCTGGAACACAGGCCAGTGTAAGCTCTTGGTACTATAACACTGCAGAGAGTATTGTCTTTAAGAGAAATTTTAGTATCAAGAAAATCTGAAGAGCTGTTTTCATTTCAGAAATTCAACCTGCATACATTCTCTCAAGTTTTTTTTATCTTCAGCGCTGTAACTTCAATAAAAATGTTATTGAGTTAAAATTTACAAAACACTATCCTATGAGACAATCTCAGAGGTCAATTTTAAGCCTGAGGTTCGAAGCTGGATGATGAATAGTATGTTTTCCCCTTTCCATTTAAATAATACATAAAGCATCCTGAATGCATCCCTAAAACAAGTGTGCGTGAAGTTTTATTTTGAAATTTGGCAATAAGTATATGCATGATGCTTTTATTTTTGAGAAGATAGTGGTGGTGATTTTTTGGACAAATGTAGAGCTTATTTTTTTGCTGATTAAAATATTCTATGTAACTACATTCAAATGAATGTTAATGAGTTGGAGTTGGCAACTATTTAAGTAATTTACCGATTTATATGGGTTCTCTTCCACATAAATGATTATAAATGTCAGTTAGATGAAAATATACAGATGTATAAACCATAATAATTTTTTTTAATAAAGAAAATAGCATTGACAACTTAGGAACTATGTATTATTCACATCATACCAGTTTCATTTGAGAATTGTCTCAAGAAATAGCACCAACTGAATAATCAGTGTTGCTTTTTTAATAACTTCATTATAGAACCAGCCTGATACTAGTAATCTGGTATACTGAGAAGTACACATCACATAATATTGTATAGTTTTAGGCTTTGAAAGGAGAATGTTAAAGCAAAATAGAAAATTAAAATATTCCCTTCTACCAAGTATAGTTTTGTAAATTTTGAAGAAATTTAGCAAAAGAGATTCAATTAAATCTGTTTGGCCATTAATATAATTTCTTGTAATCAATCTCCAACTTGTTAGGTTTTATACCCTTCTTTTTTTACCTTAAGTATTATATTTCATTATTTAATGTCTACCTTACTATACCCACATTCAGATATATGAAAACAAATCTTAAATTTTTTTTCTTATTACTATTTTTAAACTCAAAAGGCATGACTAAGTGTGTCCACATAAGATTGAGTGATTTCTAACTTGGTGGAAGCACTTGAAAGAATCAATAAGCTTTATAAGAATTTGGTATAAATGCTTATGACGTAGTCAGGAAAAATCTATTTGTTGAGATTCAATTATAAGATTTTTGAACTTAAGAGTAAAAACTTCCCATGATAACACATATTTGCATTTGCAGCTGCCTATGGGGATACTTATAATCCTCAAACTGTAGAAATAAGTTTTAGGAAATTCTCATCCATACTGCTGAAAAATCAATTTTTTATGATGCTCAAATCTGATTGTAGAATTTCCTACCCTTCTCCTTCTTTTATTTATTTGTTTTTTGAGTTCTGGTGCAATACAACTAACGAAAATTTTCAGCATATTCTCCTATTGAAACAGAGTTCATGCACATGTAATAGGCAATTAGGATACAAAAATACTATATGACTTTCAGCATACAGAGCAACCAGGTAACTGAACTGTATCCTTTCACAAATCCATGGGTTATAGTAGGAAGGTACCTAAACCAGGGGTGTGTGGGTGGGAAAGGACCAGTGTGTTAAAGCCAATTATGTATCATACATAAAAGTGCACATTAACTACTTGAAAAAAATTCACATTTATTTACCGTCAAACCGTGTTAAACTTTACACTGGATATTAGTGATGGGCTCATTATTAACAGGTTTATACAAAGGGATGAAAAGAAAAGCAGAATTTTGCTGAAACAATTTACATTTCATTAGAACTTTATCATAAAATAAATTAATTACTAAATATAGGCAGAAGGAATATGGAAGAGTAATAGTTATGTTTTATTTTATTTTTTAAAAAAGAGTAGGCACCTTTTGTTCACTAGAAAGTTTGTGAGAAGTGCCCAGTGCCCTCTTTGCCCTCTGTTCAAGAATAAACAGCGGGGTGACACATAATCTTTTCTAGATTTTACCACATTTGTGCAAGGCATGGCATAACTGGCTTCCAAGAGTTTTCTCTCCATAAAACACGTTCTTTTGGCAATAAGAAATTTAAATGTAATAAAGACTAACTTGTCAAAGCAGAACACTGCATACAGTGGAAAATAAGTGAAAATGGGTAGAACTTACCATGACAAAGTGTAAGAAAAAACATTTCATAACATATGTGCAACCAAGAGCTTTTCACAATATTTTCTTCAAACTCCTTAAAATTATTTTAATGACAATTATATTTCCGTTGGACACAAATGTATTTATTTTACTCTAGCAATAGAACAAAATATAATTTCTTTAGCCATTCTTCATGAGAATAGTTCATTGTACAGTTGAGGAAACATATGAAATAAGGCCTGTGGCTTGATTGCTAGTGGTTAAACATGTTTTCAATCTTTGCCTTAATGGAAAAGATTTGCAGTGAACTGCAAACTGATGCAGAATATCTCTCCTGCTTTTCCAAGTCTTGTCAGGAACAGTAAGGTACAGTAAATTTGTCCCACAGGATTTTAAAGCCTACATCTTGTATATAATACAATGCAGGCCTACAAATATGGTGCAGCCATATTTACAAATTTAGTTCACAAACTGCTGCAGTAAAATGGCTGGCAAGTTTTGTTTTGCTTGTTTCACAATTTCTCTAAACAGCAGCAGAATCTTAAAATACCTGGTTGGCATTTCTTTTCTTTGTAACAAATAATTCATTTTAGTATACTCTGTGTATATATAAAGTTTCTGTATGTTTTATAAAAATTCACAGAACTGCAAGGTTCAGTCATCTTTTTTTTTTTTTACACTGGAGAACCACAGGTGCACAGAGCTGTCTCTTCAAGCAGAGTTTGAGAGGGTTGCACGGGGCCGTTGGAGTCTTTGTTTATTTATTAATACTTGCATGTGGCCCTTGGAATTCCTTAGGTGCACTATTAAAGACTTGTGACCAGCTGCATTTGTCCTTCCCTAACATCTCCTTCCGGAATACATCCTTCTTTGTTAATGGGGATTATATAACCATCACTATTGCCCCTGCTGATCTGGTAGTACATCTGAAGCTGATGGCCAGCTCCAAGATTTGGCATGCTTTTATAGTAAATGTCCTCGTTCTCACTCCTCCTGGAGGGAGACAGGTCTTCTTCCACATCGGGGCTGCTCTCCTGGTAGGGAGAGTCTCTAAGATTGGGCATGCTTGTATAAAGAGAGTCTCTGTTGGGGGACTGTAGGTGGTCCTCAGCCTCAGCTGTCAGCTGGGAGACATAGCTGTCAGTTCCCTCGGGCTTCACTTTCTTCTGGGGTTGGTACAGAAGGGAGTGAGTCCGTTGAGGAATGAGCGGTGCCTCAAGCTCTTTCTGATGGAGGTCCAGCCCTGGGTTGTCTCCGTGCATTAAAGATGAAGCGTCTGCCACGATAGCATCATCTTCACTGCTGCTCCCTCCAATCATAGGTTTGACTGGTAGCGTGAGCTCGAGGTTGTGAGTCTTGCTGCCACCCCGTAGGTTGTTGTGCACTAATTCTGAAATGATCATTTTCTCAAAAGCAGTATCATTCAGACTCAGTCCACAGTCCACGACTCGCACGCTGTCATTATAGTCCCCCTTCCGCAGTGAGTAGCTGTTGTTAAAATTACCATTTAGCGGTAGAGTATCCATGGCACTTGTATCCCTGGCATTGTTCAGTGAATGTCCTGCAACAGAAAAGGGAGAGTTTCTTTTACTGCCTCTGGGCCTTTCTAAAGAATCTTTATATTCTTTTGTACAAGACTTTTTAATGTCGTTCAGGACAAAGTTGTATTTGAAAGCTAACACTTGAAAAGTGCCAGGCTTTCCTGCATTCCCAACTATAAACAGTTGTAACCCCTTACACAACAGGAAAAAGTGTTAAAGAGTAATATTGTTTTCCAGGAAGGGAAATGGCATACAGAATATGACTTCATCAATTTCAGGGAGAGAGTAGTTATCAATTCATTTTTGGTCAAACGTCTGACACAACAAAGAAGACTTCACTCCATGCCCTTGCATAGTTAATGCAAAGCAATCCATTAGCGACATTTACATTTTAAAGTACGAGACTATGGTTTATAAAAATAAAATTAACAGAATTTGTCCTAAACAACACTAAATTAAAAAGGAATAAGTCACATACAAAAACTGAAGGCAAACGTACAACATAAACCCACATAACTGGCAAGCAACTTTTAAAACAACATTCTAACATTTCCTTTTTCTGGAGATGAAGTAAAAAAAAAGAATGAAAAAAATGGACAGATACAAAGAATTCGTGTTAAACAAAGACAGCCATCTCTCATACCAACTGGACCAGGGGCCCACAAGCACCATTCAACAACATGATAGACAGCAGGTGGAATGACTCACTTTGGACAACTCACATCATGTCTGTCTGCTCAGGCTATCTGGCCTAAGAGTAGCTGATATATAAAAGAAAGTAAAATGATTTATTGTAACATGATGAAGAATTTCTAAGCTTCTCAGCAACTTAGTCAGAGCAAGGGTTCAACAAATTAGATTACCAGCAATAGCAGCCTATCATTTTTCATTTAATATTTTTTCTTGTTTTGATTTTTTGGTACTAATAATCTCACTAATTAACAATGGCTCCAGGCTTCTAATGGTCAGAGTTTGCCTGCAGCCCTGCAGTCTGCATCAGTCACAGTGACAGCACCGAATGAACTAGCAGAGTCTATTGTACAAGGTTGGCCCATAGACACCATGGGCATGGAAGTCAAATGCAGAAATGTTAGAAATTTCTTAAATATGGCTCACAGAAATTAAACCAAGAATAAATATTAACTATGGAATGGGAGAAGAGTGTCAGCCTTGACTAGTTTATTTTTATTTCTAAAGGAATGAAAGATTGAATAAGTCTGCTGAAGATATGAAAAGAGGCTTAGGAGGAAAAAAATATGGTAACATGCTCTATTTGTCAGAGTTGTATTTTCTACAGACACATAAACATGTAAACTAAGACATCACAGTGCTTCTCAGGCAAATGGATAAAAAAAAAGATTGAGAGAAAATTAAATGGTCTGCACCATGGAAAGTTGGGTTATTCTTTCTCAAAATCCTAGAGAAAAAAAAAATCACTTGTCTACAGATAGGTCTGGAAAAAAAAAGAATGAAATGACGTTATTGAAATGAAACTGACCACTGTGAGGCTGCTGCATTGTATGCAAGGCTTGGAGGAGTTTAGGAAAAAATTGGATTCTTCGAAAAAATAGTCAATTTCTCTTTTTAGCACTCACTCCACTCTTAAAGCTGCAGATTATCTTAGAAAACGCAATTTCTTTCAGAAAATAAAAAACTATCTCTGCACTGTCTGGCACAAACGTCATAAGCAATAAATGTCTGATGACATTGTCATTATCAGAAAATGAGAAATTGTTAGTGACTCTTACTATTATTAAAAACTCTGACCCAAAACTTCTGTTGTTGTTGTTAGGTGCCGTTGAGTCTGTTCGACTCACAGTGACCCTGCATACAACAGAACAACTCTACAACTGAATAACTGACAATCCAATTTGTATCATGTTCCATGTGTAACAAAATAAGGTTGTAATGGTTATTTATAAGGTTTCCTTTATAAATAACAATTCTCCAGCTTTATAAATTTGCACGTGAGTCCTAATCTTTATAAGATCTACCACTACAAAATACTGGGTATTTTCAGTTGTAGGAGACACATGGATTACATGCTAGCATTTGTTTCCTCTGCAGAGATTCAATCTTGTGAAACATTTTCCTGTTCTTTCTATCGCTGCTTAATGAAAATAAAAGTGTATACTGGATACTTCAGGTGTTTTCTATGATATACTGCAGATTTAAGCACATCTTTGACTGGTTTTGAAGAGGCAACTTTTTCTGCCCAAGTTCAGGTAATTCACTTGAAGACTTTCCACAGCCTGTAGCAAGATTACTGTGGGAATGCAGAAATGATCAGTCAATTATTAAGCATTTTGGGTGACAGTACTTCAGGCTTGAAAGAGCAAATTATTTCAGCATTGCATATAGTTAAGTATGGACAGCATTTGCTACAGACTTTTATTACTGACAAATGCGGTACAGATATGCTGTTTTGACTTTGGTTACATTTTAGTTGCAAATTGTGAACCACTTGCCCGCTGAGTCTACTTCATGACTGTTAGTTTTGTTTTAATTGTGCCCGATAAAAATCATGCTGAAAAAATTTACATTTGATAGGCAAAGTTAAGTTTTACTCCCATACTTGTCTCTCTGTAGGTTGCTAGAGGAAAGCATAAGGAGAAAGTAAGAAAACAAGAGAATGAAAAGAGAAGCTGCAGTTACGTTAAAAAAGAATTTTAAGAAAAAAAAAGGAAACAAAGTTCTGTGTTTAATTTAGTGGCAAAAATATTAATCACAAATCAAGATTATATGCTAGCAATAATTATACAACAACTGTGACCAAAATCTTGACATTTCTGTTAATATTAAATATATGCTTTTTTTTTTAATTAGCTATTAGAAAAAACATAGTAATATAAGATGGGTTAGTGACAACCCACTCCACCCCCCCAAAAAAACTATAGGTATAAACTGACTAATATAATTCTCCAAGTTTTCATAAGAAAAAAAGAAAAACTACCATAAAGCTGCACTATACTATAGTTTGGTTATATTGATAATGCTGGACATAGTTTTCTACACCTAGGCATCCAAATGATCTTTATTAGCTAATTCATTCCAGAAGCAAATTTTGTCAGCAAGCTTTAGAGTCAACTCAACAGTATATTATATAGATAGGATACCTCTAAATGATATAAATCTTGAAGATGGGCTCTCAGACCATGTGATGTCAGTCCTGTAATAATATATTAAGATTTATGCCACCTGTGTTAAAGACATGGATAATTATTGGTAGTTACTATCATGACTGAGGTTTTACTATAATATAGTGCAGTTTTAGAAGCCTGGCATGGGCAGTATCACATTTTTTTTTTTTTAATTGAGAAATTCAGGATATAAAAACAAAGCTATGACAACTTGAGTCTTTAGAAACGGGGAAAAGATCAAAGGTCTGTTTAGCAGCAAAGATAGGTAGTTTTATTCGTAAGTATAAGCACACCTGGTGAGTTAAATACAGGAGCTGAAGGGGCACTACAGACAACTGTTTCAGCGAGCAATGTGTTATAGGGGTTGTTAGTGCCGTGGGGTCGAAGAAGAGGGTTTGTTAGTAGGTAATTGCCAGTCATTCCTAAAGTAAAGAAACAGAAAAAAATACATCAGTTCTCTTATTTTAGTGTTACAGTTGCACTAAAGGTTTTTTTTTTGGTATTCATCAAGGGTAGCAGACAAGTTGGCAACGGAAAATCTGCTGAAATTTTCTGACTGTATTTGAACTACTAATTTGGAGGAGAAAGGGGAGAGGGGAGTTACATTTCAGTAACTCACAGGTGCTTTCCAAGTCCCCTAAGTAAACACCTGCTGAGGATGACATTTACTAATTTATACAAAATCACTGTTAAACAAAAATGGCAATTAAATGCATAGAGATCAACATTATGTTTCAAGATGTTACTGCTTAATATTAAAAACTTAACCACTGAGGCCCAGAAGTGGGAATCTCAAACTTTCTGAATTTACAGGTGTAGGATTATCCCTCAAGAAAACATCTGTGTTAGTATCAACTTTGATACAAGCAGGCGGAAAAACAACTTTCACAAACAGGTAAAAACTATGACACTGCATAAAGCTTCTCTTAGTATATGCACAAGCGTACATGCCGAGGAGGGAGGGGGTACTGTATATAATGAATTATTAGACCATTCACAAATCCTACAGAGCAAGACATTTCATTCCATAATCTTATTTGCCAGGTTTCAAAAATGAATCACTGAATAATTCATTTACTTTTTTGACAGTTATCTTAATAGAATTGGATAAAACATTAAAGCAACGGAATAAACACACGTTTTCACTCGTTCACAGTGACAAATTACAAACTTTTCAATACTTATCAAACATTGCTTGCATAGCTAATGTAATTTGACTAAAAATGTTTTAAAATTCAGGTTGGTTGAATACCCCTTTCTTATTTTAAACCAAAATCTTATCAGAATAATGTCAATAATTAAAAGCAATGCTTTAATACTTCACTGTGATAAAATATAACTTAGATATTATATTTTAAGTCAGCACATCAAACAAAAATTACCTGGATAAATTACCTTCCCAGGGTGACAGACAATAAGAATATTTTCATCCTAAATTGAAACTTACTAAACTTTTATTCAGGAATACATGTGTTTGCATGTGTGTACCTTTATTGTGCCAAATTATTTTATTTCTCAGCTTATTTTAAGCAAGAATTGTATTAATTTAGGCCATAAAGTTAAAGTTGCAAATGTAGACATATCCAAAACTAGTCATTCAAATTGAAAAAAAAAAAAAAAAAAAAAAGTTATTTTAGACACCCTCATTTATTTTAATTTAAAAAGATTTAACATAACTTTTTCGGTTTAACATTTATGTTTCACTTTTTGAAAAAAAAGTAAAAGAAAAACTTTATAAATATAAAGAATTTTAACTGCAAAAAGTAATACTATTTAATGTGAACAGTTATTATGCTAACTATATTAGTGTTTTAAGAAGAAACCTTTCATAAACGTCTTTGGTTAGAAGGATAAATTTGCACTCTCTAGGAAGCACTTTAATCTGTGGGGAAGTATGTTCTCAGTAATTTTTTCCAGTGTTCCCATATAAATGTAGAGTTTAAAATTTTATTTTTGCATTACATTGCTGAATAGAAAAAATTTATATGTACTTAATGATAGTAAAAGTTGGCTCAACAGATTTAAGAGCTTGTGATATAAACCCATTTGTGAGAAAAGTTATGCATTTTCTCTAGAATTGTTATAAATTGGCAAAAAGTACAAAATTTATATTGTAAACTCAAATTTTCCTAGTAACTGACCTTGATTAAGTGTCGAAGTGCTATTGATGTCACCTGAGATAAAAGAAGATTCAGACTGTTTTCTCACAGTGTCATTCCACATCCTTCTTATACGACTCTATTGATATAAAATAGCAAGACAGATATGTTATGTTAGTTTCCCCAACCTTAACTTAATAAAGATGCAAAAGATTTACACTAAACAACCAGTGTAAGCTTATCTGTTGGCCTTTTAAAGAATGTGTGTTGTGTTTGGCCTAAAACTAGGGCTTCAAATCAATTTGTTCTGGTTTGAACCCCTGCTGAGAATCTGCATTTCTAACAAGTTCCCAGGAATTTACACCTAAGAATCACCTGGGGATCTTGTTTAAATGTAGATTCTGATTCAGTATATCTGGGGGGTGAAGTCACAAATTCTCAGTAGGGAACTTGTTAGAAATGCAAATTCTCATCAGCAGGGGCTGGAACTGAACAAAACCTGTTTGAAGCCCTGCCTAAAACTAAGGACGTCTACACTGCCCTGCTGCTTCTCTACTAAGGGCTGTTTAATTTTCTACTATTAAAAACATACTTTTTTTTTTTTTTCTTTTTAAGGTGGAGTTGATTATTCAAATGTTTACTGAGTGCCCACTATGAGCTAGGCACTGTTCTGCATGAGCTTATGATATAGTTCTTAAGGAACTCCCCTCAAAAAAGGATGTCTGCACCTAAAGAAACACCTTGAAGAAATATTTAAAAGAAATCAAAACCAAAATACTATGAAAACAAGTATTAGCCACTTAGATCATTATAATGAGAAGACAATTAGTGCATCTGAAGAGAACGTGTCTCCATAGGCTTTCTATAAATAAGGCTAATTAAAGATGCTGTCAAACTCTCCGCTACCTGTGTGCCAGAAGAGTACCGAGCACTGGTCCTGGTGGTAGACGCCTTCACTGAGCTGTGGGGGCTCTCAGTTGGGAGGCTGCCACAGCAATACGAGTGTCTGAAGCACTTTCCATACTCTTTTCGTACCTGCATTGAATAACCATGAGATCAAGCGATTAATATGAACATATTTCTGTGTGCTCTCTCTCTTCAATTAAATGAGCAGTGGAGACAACCAAAAAGGAATGGAAATTCCATTAAGACTTATTCATGGAGAAAATAAATCAAACTTGCAAAATCAGGTTCAACTGAAACTGCTAAATAATAATTAGAAAAATATCACTGTCCATTCGATTGGTTAGTAGTCTCTTTAAAATGTGATATGCTTTATGCCCTGTTATTATTACACAAACATTAGTTATTAATTTATACACTGCAAATTTTATTTTAAAGCTTTATTCTACCTGTATACTTAGCAGCCTCATTTTTTTTTTTATTCCATGCTAACAGGGCAAAAAAATCCAGTTATTTTCCTTGCTTAATTACTTTTAACCACTCTAATTCAGTCATTTACGTTTTAAATGTTTCACGTCCTCTTAGGTAGGTCGATACATAAACCTTTTTTACTGGATTGCAAAATTTTGCAGGTAACCTCTTTATAATGACAAGACTTCTTTGGCACAAGAATAAGGAAAAAAATTACTTTGATACATCTGCCATTAATGAGGATAGACTGTTTTCTTCATTTTCTCATATGTCTAGCTTTAGCGTTTAGTGTAGAGAATCTAAGATGTCTATTCACTTCATTAGCACACAAGGGAACTATTTATGCAATTTCCATTCACATTAATGAGTTACCCATGTAATTTCCCTTTTCCCCTGAAGCCTGGATATAGGAATAGATAGAGAGCTGATAGGCCTAAAAGAAAGTTTAAACGACAGTTAAAAAAGGGAAGTCCAAACAGCTGCTAAATAAGAGGCGCACACCTAGAATGGTGGTATAGGATTGCAGGCGGGCAAGTCTGGCTTGTGTGCAGGTATACTGGCTTATAAACATGTTTTATTGTGACTTTGAGCCAGACTTTGAAATTACATGATAGACAAGAAAAGAGAAGTTGCATAAGACAATATTTTTATAGGAGGTTGCAAAAAACAAAACCTCAAAGGCTTTTGTCCACCTTCAATTCTATGCTATCTGACTATACAATGCATGACTTTGACACTTACTTACTCCTTGCAAAATTAGAGAATTAAAGTAACTAGATGACCTTTTAAATCTAAGCGCACCTGCATTTTCATCCTCTTAGCTTTACTTAACTACACCTATTAGAACAAACAATGGGGTTGAGCTTTCAAAAGCATTTCTTTGCCTAAAAATGCTCACTCAAGCTGTAAGAACCACAATTTTAACTTAATCATTTTATATCATATTCTTAACAAACATCCCGGCAGCACCCAAGAGAATATATCCAAGACTATGTAAAACATGTTCAAAAGAAGTGCAACATAATGCTTTTAAAACATAATTGCTAAATTCAAAGGCATAATAAAAATCTCTTTGTTCAATTAATACACAGAGCTAGAAATAATGACTACCTCACCCTTTTTCTGTCTCAGTCTATGCTTTATGTCAAAGACCTTTGGCAAAACAGCACAAAATGTATACATATGTGATCATATGTATGTATACAAAAGGCTCACTTATGTGGAAAATACATTAAAAAAGTAATTATGAAGGTTATTCCTGTACAATGTTTAGAAAGTTAACGTTCACCATTATGAAATAAAACATGATACCTCACAAAAAATTTCTGTGCATTTAATGGCTATTAACTGTTCTGAAATGCTGTAAACCAAGACAATGGCAATCAAAATGGTATTTTATCCAAATAATACCCTCCAGTGTTGGTTTTGCCTAATGCCTATATTGCTGTGAATGTACATTATCTGTCAGTATTGCACATTCCACTGTCATTATTTCAAAATTATAGCTTACCCAAAACTGATGGAAGTAACAACACTATCATCTTGTCAGTACTGAAAACATAATAGTTCTCACTTTCACAATTCTATTTCTCTGTTCAATTTAGTGACCAACTGGTAATAACAGAATAAAAAGACTACATTACATATGCAGAGAGGGAAAGGATGATACCTAGCGAAAGAAAAAAAGGCCTGGAAATTTTAAACTTACATGGCAGCTAAGCTATTCTCAACTTCACATTTTCTTGCTGCAGATTGAAGTTTTTCACCCTCAGCTTTCATTTCTGAATATTTTTTCAAATTTCCAGACAGGTATTAAAATTAATTTATGATTAAAAATATGATGCAATTTAATAGTATGCCCAGCTACATTTAAATCTTTTCCATTATACCTCTATTTTTAAATCAAAGAACAAGCCAGCAGAGCACACAGGTGTTTTTCACTCACCTTCTTTTGGAGAGCACAGTGAAAGATGAAAATGAACACTCCCTGGAAAGCGTTAAAGATGGTGAAGAGATATGCCATCACGATAGTCTCCTCGTTAATAAAAAGCAACCCAAATGACCAGGTTAAGCCAAGAAGAAACAGAAGAGCGAAAGCACCAAGCACCCAAGACCTGAAAAAATAAAGTGAATTTTATTAACAGGTTCAATGGGGGTAAAATACATTGTCACATTTAATATTAACAGTTCAGTAGTAGCAGTTGACTTTCTCTATGTTCACATTCAAATTCAATAGCATTTTGGCTTTAACCTTTCAATGATTAAAGAAAGAACAATAGCATTTAGTACAGCAGACTCCAATGAAAACAGCAACAGCAGGTATGACCTTTTTTTACTCCAGAATAAACAAGGTATTAACACTATATTAACACACCAGGTGTAGAACAACCCTCAATGACTTTATTCTCTTTTATGTGCATTTTGGTAAAATGAGTTAAGGAGTCGTTAATTAGTTTATGCCTATATTTTTTATGCCTGTGGTGTACTCATATGACACTGAATAATGTGACACATACAGAAAGGTTAAATGGCAGATAATCACTTAACACCTAAACTTCAGATTCTAGTAAACTAATCTTAGGTGAGCCTAAGGTTTATAACTAAAGCATGAAGAAGCCTAGCTGAAATGGGACAAAACCATGAGAACAACTTCAAAACAAAATAATTTTGGAGAGATTTCATCATGAATAGCTTAAAGAGAAAAGAACTGTAGAAAATAGGAGGGAATGAGAAGGATTTAAAGTCAGTGCATTCCATGTCTAACTAATGATCTTACTTGATAAATGGCTTATTATCTTCATAGCTAGAAAGCATTATAAGCAGAAAAGAGAAACAAAATTATTAGACAGAATTAAAATAGAAAGTAATAGAAAGCATTTATATATTTTATAAATTAGTCAAAATTAAGGAAGTCAAAATGCAGAGGCAAGCAATTAAAAAATAAAGGCATATTATAGTTTAAAAATACTACAGCAAATTAGATATTCCAAAATAATTATAAAAATTAAGGGCAATTCATGATACTGACGGATTGAAAAAATATAAATCATGCCATAAATTTGTTAATGTAGGGTTCTACCTTACCCAGGTAAGTCCGTATTATAGTAGCCATCACAAACACGGTAATTACTGGTATAGATGTGAAGACAGAAAGAGGGAAAGGAAGAAAAGAGAGAGATGCTAAAGATTAGCTCTCTCTCTTACCATGCAACATGCAATGAAGCTGGCACTCACCTATCTATAACATCTAATTTGTTAAAAAAAAAATCTACCCTTACTATAAATCTGCCATTTTTTACATTAAAAATACTTTTTCATAATCCCACTGTAACCAATTTAAGTAATACCACCTCAAATTTTAAATGAAAAGCCTCATTTAAAAATAACTCTGAAAATACTTCCCTAAGATGATTTAATGAAGCAACAGCTATCAATTTATTTGTTAATTAGATAGCATTTTTCCACTGACAGGATATTGCGGTTTTTATTCAGGATTAAGATAAAGCAAACATTTGTTTAATTAGCATGAAAACAACAGATAATCTTCAAGTTAACAATAGTAGTAGAGTAAATTCTCTTAAGAGAACAGGATCAGGAGTAGGAACTGCTCAGAATCTTTAAATGGAATAGTGATTTAACAAAACAAACTTAATATAATCGTATCAGCCATGCAAACAGGAACATCATTTTGAACTGCATTTTAAATTTAAATGAAATTGCTACAGTGATATGGAATTTACATGAAGCCACTGAAACAATTTCTTGGCTCTGGATCAAGATGGAAATTATTAACTAATTTTTCATCAGTATCTGTGACATGGTAACAGTGAGACTCAACCTTGATCAGTAAAATTTCATTTTAGATCGTTTCTAGAGTTGACAGAAGGTATTTCTGTGTTCCCTGTGGAGAATATCTTTTACTCAGTTTGTCAAGTACTAAAATTAAAATACAAAACACTTACTTAATGTTTTCCAACCTGCTAGAATCTGGTTTCAAAGTGTTTGAATGCTTCACCATTTTGCACAATGTGATCACCAGGAAGATAATATTAAGCTGTTATAACAAATAAATAATTAGACTGTTTTGAACAACAGTAAACAATAAATAAGGTTTTACTAATATATTTTATGACTTAATAAAGTTAGGTATCAATGGCCATGTGTATATGGTAGACACTGATTCAATTTTAGTTTAAGTGCATAATGATTAAGTTAAAACAAACGAACAAAAAAACCCATTGCTGTCAAGTAGATTCTGACTCATAACAGCCGTACAGGACAGAGTAGAATTGCCCCATAGGGTTTCCAAGGGGTGACTTATGGATTCAAACTGCTGACCTTTTGGTTAGCAGCCAAGCTCTTAACCACTGCAACACCAGTCAAGTCTATATAAAAAATATTCTGGCTATGTATGATCCATTCTTTAATAGATCATTTGACATGAAATTGCAACCTCATGAAGTCAGTATGACATGGTAATGATTAAATAAATTAGTAAACTTAGATTAGTTTCTTTAGCTAGAGATACTCCAGAGCCTAAAAGCCATGTGATGGGAACATTGTACTGAATTCCTTATAAGGGGCACTTACATTATACAATTTATAAAGGAAAATTCCCTAGATTTGGCACCATAAAACTTGGTTGAGAGCATATCTCTCAATTTTGATTGTTTCCTAATTAAATGAGGAGAGTAACATTTGTACAGTCTATTTATAAGGTCACTGTGAGGATCAAAACAAATAAATGAAAAATATTCACTAGTTACATAAAGTAGGGAACTAAAAAATATGTACGTTGATATTAAACAATATCCTGTTAAAAGTCATCAGTTTCTTTTCTTTACGTCTCTATATTGTATGAAAGTAGATTAATTCTGAAGAAAGGCTGTTTTGAGTCCTTCAAAAGATTCCGCTGTGCAAAGACTAGGCGCAAACAAAACATCTGGGGAAGATGGAACCTGACACAGGAAGCAGGTTTGGGATTCCAAAAGGTCAACAAGAGTGAAAGAAGAAAGAAGTTGTTTTGAGTGAGGAAAGACAAAAGTTTATAATTTGCATTTGTTTCTACAGACACCTGACAGAATGCTGCACCAAAAGGAGGCAGTTCCAAACACCTATGTAAATAGAAAATATGACTAAAACTCTTAAGAATGACTGTCATTTTGTTGAAGATTAGGTCCTCGTAACCTGCTTTCTAGATTCAGAGTTAAAATCAGTTAAATTTTTCTCCCCCCCTTTTTTTGGAATGGTCCTATTGAGAAACTTTTGTTCCAAACTTCTGGACTTAGGGTTTTGGTTTTTTTTCTTGGTAACAATTTCATGAAGCATATAAAGACCATAATTTGTTGTTCATTACTTTCTAAGCAATAAATATAATTGTCCCCTAATTCCCTCAAGAACATAATTCTAGTATTATATTTCAGAGAGCAAAAAAAAAAAAATTCTCCACTACAATGTATAAAATTACAAGGAAAATAAAGAGTGGGAAAATGTGGGTATATAAAGTATTATGCTGTGAACATAAAATGAATCTTGTGGCTGAACATATTGGAACAAATCTCTTTCATAAAGAAAAGTGGGTAAAAATCATGTTATTTAAGAACTAAAACATTTTCTAATAAAATTTACCTATGTAAAAACACAATTAAAGCTTCTATATGACACAGAGAATTCTTTCTAGCTAAGACTAAGGACTAAGCAAACTGAATTGCTGCAATGTGCCTCAGAAAACAGTACCTCATTTGGTCAATTAAAAAGTCTCTCCTTTCTTGAGAAGGGACAGTGTTGACATGTCGTGGGGTTGTTAACCATTCATAGGGCCATATGTGTACTAACTGTTTAATGAGAAACTATTTGTTCTATAAACCTTCATCTAAAGTACAAAAAAAAAGAAAAGAATTATCTATGTGAGATCAAATTGACAACAGTAATTCAAACAGTTTGATGGGAAGTCTAGGGGACAGTGAGTTGAAGATAATAGTGATGGAATAATTTGCAAAAGGATTGTGAGAACACCAGCACAACTGGAAGAACATAATCGATGTCACTGAATTGTACATGTAGAAATTTTTGAAATGGTGTATCTTTGGCTATGTATATTTTCACCAAAAAAAAAAAGGTCCTCCAAGGCTGAGAAAGGAGAGGGTTGACATGTCGTGGGGTTGTTAACCAATGTCATAGAGCAATATGTGTACTGACTGTTTAATGAGAAACTATTTGTTCTGTAAACCTTCACCTGAAGTACAACTAAAAATTAAATAAATAAAAAAGGTCTCTCTTTTCCTTTCCTCTCAGCCAACTGAAGTTTTTAACATTATGTGTTTGGTGTTTCTTTCTAGTTACAAATGTAATATATTCACAACACACAAAGTTCAGAAAATTAGGAAGGGCAGGGGGGACAGAAACACCTGTAATCTGACCTCTTTAGGTAGCAGGCACTTGCATACTCATTTTACCAATTATTGAGATAGTAAGTATCTCAAAAAGATTACTTAGCCACTAAAATGGTAATGCTAAGATTTAATATACCATGGCCTGGCTTCACAGCCCACAGTCTTTCCAAATAAAATTAACCAATTTATTCTGGGTGAGAAAACTAGGAATCTTCTAACAAGGCTTCTATTTCTATAGATACTGTTTCTATAAAGATTTATTGTTATGAAGAGTAGTCTAATTTAGAAAGCACTCAGGAATGATGAATGAATTGAAGATAAATAATAAATTGATTAGTATATAAAATACAGTCTCAACAAACTCCTGAATAACATAATAGGTGTGCTCTTAAAATACTTATACGTGATGAATTTTTCTAATTCTCCATTTTCTTTCAACAACTCCCTGAAACATCTACACACATCTCTCTCACTACTCAAATATTTGCCTAACTCCAGTTAGCTGTGCCTCCTCCAAACCGCTTTATGTCAGTTACACTTACACAGCTAAATATCACACAAACCGATAACACACGAGTGCCAAAATGAAAGCAGTTCTTTCTAACATGTCTAACATCGAACGTTTCAAAAAAACTTTTAAAAAGTGAAGTGTCTTTAAAGACAACTGAAAATACTGGAAGAAATAATCATGAATCCATAGAAGGATTTTGCACTCAGATGTTTCAGCTTCACAAGTGTCTGTGAATTCTCCATTTTAAAGAAACTGAAAATTAGTCAATGCACTGATGTTAGACTGTCAAGAATTTTATACTTAAATCCAACATTAATTTAGCCTCTGAAATAAGACTTAAAAGCATACAAATAATGAGGCAATGACATCTTTAATAGGACCAAGTACTGTCATTTCAAGACAAAGTAATTATGCCAGACATCGTGAATCACATAAGATAGTAAAAAATGCGAACCAAAATAGTAAAGAAATGTAATCAGTGACTGCAAGATATTTTCCTTTACTCAAACTAAAAAAATAAAAATTCACTAATACTCACATATTACTTAATAATCTAGTTAGAGAAATAAAAATATTCATATCATTTAGTTATTCAACATTTTAATATATTAGCTCCAACATACCTAACAATGAAATATTTTCTGGAAATAAATAAAACACATATCTAAGCTTAAACATTTTTTTTAATGTGGCATTAGAGTTCTTTTTCTGCAAAGCTTAACAAAAATGTAAATGTTCAATTTTTAGTGTCATGAAATATTGTTGCTATGATCTTTTCCAGGAGGTAATATACTCTGATAAGAATAATTTTGTAATATAAAATATTACAATATTTTTTACTCATCCTTCTACTCCTTTCTAGTTTCTTAAAATACAACTGTGGAGATCAGAGCAAGAGATAGAGGGACAAATAAAAACATCTTTGCTAAAACCTCAGCCAAATACAGTCACTTGAAGACTTACAGGGTTGGTTTCCAATGAACTAAATGGCTACAAATCTATAGTTCCTTTCTTTGTATTCTTCCCATAAATGGCTCTATCTGGCCAAATACTTCTGCTTTTTTATCTTTTTTTCTGATTAAAGTGATTTCTTTCTCCTAACTTTTACCTCTTCCTTGTTTATCTTCCTGCCTTTGGTATGCATTTGAAAAAGAAAAAAGGGCACAATAGGCAAACAAGGAATTTTGCCTATTTCTCATTAGAAAGCAGGTAGAGATAGGGAGAGAGGAATGTCTTTACTGTCTAATTGCTGCTCTTCTTCCCTGAATTCCAGTGATGCCACTTTTTTCCCTTCTTGTTCTTAGGTTTTCCTTTCCAACATAAATAATACTTAAAGCACAGTATTTTGAGATAGGTGAAATAGTGCTGTGCCTCAGTGAGGGAGTTACAGCTACACACACAAAAATTTACCTAAACCTAGTAACTGAATATAACTTGCAAACTATTATCCACACTGAAGCCACAAGTGCGTGCAGGTTAACAGGACTGTGTTGCATATTGTATGTCAACTACCAACCTGACGGTTAATTTTGGAGATGAGGCAAGTCATTGAAGTATTATTCAGCTTTTAACTCTGCTTTGTGTGAAACACACACGTAAATAGGTAGAATATCTCTTTATGTGAATTCAAACTGCCGACCTTTTGGTTAGCAGCTGAGGTCTTAGCCACTGCACCACCAGGGTTCCTTATGTAAAAGGGGTGAGAACAAATTCAGAAGAAAAATAAATTCCCTATTCTGATAAAAACACTGAACTGGGGAACTCTTTCTCTCTGATGTATACCACTCTTATTCCTATGTCACAATAATAATTTCATAAATAATGATTTAAGCAATCTCTTTTGCTGATAAAATTCATCACCACTACTGACTTGGCATAGCTAAACATCACCCATATTGAAGAACATGAAACTACAAAGAAGGAAAAAAAGGGACCACTGATTATAGGAGTGCACTGTATGTTTTACAGCCATCAACCTGCTCAATTGAATCACATCCGTCTGAGCTTAGCAACTTAAAATTCACTCCACAGCCTGCAGTGCTGACATGGATATGATAAGACAGAAGAACAGAAACACCACTCTGAAGTAACCTAGCTGAACTGCATATGTTCTGACCCTTTTTGTCCTCCCTGGAGCTTTTGCTCCCTGGCAAATGCAGCTCTAAAACTGCACTTGTATCTCCAGATCTTTGCTGTTAGCCAAGCAGAAACCTATTTCTCCCTGGGACTAGCAGCCAGAGAGGTGTTCTCTGAAGAAGACTTCTAAATGAGTGTGTGAGCTGAACTCTTACTGAACTGAATTAATTATTAACGATGCAGATGGAGCTGTCCAAATGATAAGAACAGCTCCTGACGTGTCATGATCCAAGCTTTCATTAAACCATTTCAGGCATATTAATGGTTTCCCACTGCTCATTACTTACATGCACTTTTCTCATAGATATAATAACTCTAGTGCCTGTAGGCAAGACATTCTATAGAAATGCAGAAGTAGGAAGTTTCATCTTCCTCAGCATTATTATTTTTCTTCATAGAACTATCATTACATAAAATGTATATCCATTTAACACTACTAAGTTAAATGGTTTCAATTCAGAAAAGTCAGATATTCAAAACTATACTTTCTGGAAAGGTCAATATATAATTTTTATTATAAGAAAATGACTTAAAAGAATAGTATAGAATATAATTTACGTTTTAACAATTTGCCTCGGAATTGAGTTTTAAATGTCTTATAACATCAGAGAGATATGTAGGTACATGTATTAATATTCAACAAATATAAGTTGTACACTCATTTCACATCTCAATTTAGGTTACATGCAAGATACTGTTTTGCACCCTTATACCACTCTTTGTCTCTCCCTAGGTTGGGGAGGTTAGAGGGCAAAGCAATTGCAGGAGGAGAATTACTCCCAGGACCTATACTGTGATTGATACCTGCTGTTTCGTTTTTTTTTTTTTTTAAACTAGGAAGACTGTTCCCAAAAGCCCTTCACATTTCAACCTAAATGATTTGGTAGAGGATAATTATGACAAGGTAATAAAGAATAATGGACTCTTACTGTAAATGGTCAATATAGTAAGATGTCCTTTACCTCTTTTCTTACTCTAACCTGAATATGTGTGAACATTAACACCTTTCACCATGTAAAACATTTTTTAAGGCTCTATAGTCATTACTCTTCTTCAGAGAAACAAAATAAACAAAACTGTAGTACAAGAGAAGTGAACAGATGATATTTTTGTAGACCAAATATCCTTAAAGTGGTCTTCATATTTTTGAAGGCATAAATGTGTTTGGCCAAGTGCTTAGGAGAAAAAAGAAGACTATCTTAAGGATCATCCTGTTCACGTCAGCTATTTATTATTTAATTCTAAATAGCCTTAGGTTGTGTTAATATAAGTAAACCAAGAACAGAAACTGGGGCAATCATCTGAATTGAACAATTCAGATGAGAAACCAGCTTTCCTAGGGACATTTCAGAATGTTTTACTGGTTTGATTCAGGGTTACCAGTTCATTCTGGTTTGAACCTCTGCTGAGAATTTGTATTTTAACAAGTTCCCTGCTAAGAATTTGCATTTCCACCCCAGATATACTGAATCAGAAACTACATTTTAACAAGAACCCTAGGTATTCTTACATATAACTTCCTAGGAACTTTAGTTAGAAATGCAAATTCTCAATCAGTTTGAAGCCCTGGTTTGATTCATGCAGGCAATTTATCTCAAAATTTTCATTTTACTTTGCATAAGTAATTTCATAAAATAATTAATTTCAATGCCAAAAGTGCATACATTTGAAGTGGTTTTAAGTTTCTTTCAACTACTAAAGCTTTTAATTTTATGAAACACTAGTTAATCATAGGAATATCCAAAGAGGTTCATTTGTGTAACTTAAAAAAAAGAGAGAGAGAAATCCTTAAAGCAGGAATAAAAAATATATAGACAATATTAAAAAAATTTTTTCCTTTTAGATTTTATAATGGTCAATAAACACCCATTTTTATCAGCATAATGCTACAACGGTGTAAAAAGTTTTAAATACTGAAATCCAAATATTTTGGCTACATTCTTTTATTTCAACTGTATTTCAAATATACAGCTAAAGGTAATGTAAAAAATAAAAATAATTTAATGTTAGTATACTTCTATCAAATTCAGTTTTAAAATAATATATCTTAAAAATCAACATTTTTATTTGGTATTTTAGGTATTAGAAAAGTAATTTTATGCCTAGTGGTTTTAAAATTGATTTAATAATCATTTTTTAATCAAGGTTTAATAAAACTTTTTGTGCCCTAAAAAGGAATGAGGGGTAGACATTTATTTAAAGATCATAAATTACTATGTGGCGGTTAAAGCAGTAAATATTAAGATAACGTTCTTTCACCTTTTTAAACATTATTTAATTTATAAATGCTCTATAGGTATGGTACAAGGCTCATAATATAGAATCTAGAGATATAACTTCCTGAACTAAATAAAACTCTCAGTGAAAAACTACACTACTCAAAAGAAAAATATCCTATAAAGATCTATCATTTTTTTCTAATTGTCCGATTAGTTCTAATCCATACAATCCTACCATGGTTTATATGTAAGTTTATTTTTTAGATTATGACATTATTTTTTAGCATACTATATTAAAAATGGGAAAAATTACTTTTAAGAGGAAAGATGATTTTCAGAAATAGTACTAATTCAAAGTGTATGAGCTCTCAATAATGGTATAATATTTAAAATACATAACATAATTTAATCTGTAAGATAGCTATGTCTATAAAACTTTGAATGCATAGATAAATTAACTATAAAACAAATTACCCTGTTGGAATAGCACTGCTAAAGTAGTAAGTTTAAAAAGGAGGGTAAAATAGAGCCAGCTTACCAGAATAATGAAAGTAACAGGTCCAATAAAACTCCATATAAAATAATTATCAACATGAAGCCAGCAACTGTGATGGAAAAGAAAAGAATGTGTATAAGTAGGTGCAATGGACCCTTAACATCAAAGAAAATAGAATTTTCTTAAAATGTGACAAACAAAAACTAGCTGTACATTTGCCTTTGAAAATTCATTTATCACAGGCTAGAATAATTCAAATTAATTCTGAGTTGGCTTTGACTGAACAAAGGTAGTGATTTATTTACTTCTACCTGCTGTTTTTCATTTCAGGCTTTATTTTTGATAAAAGCAAATAGAACTATGCTTGTATTGGGAAAAACAATAACTCCACTGCTAAATTCTTAAGGCTTCTAACTTTACTAAGAAAAACTTGAAACTCAACATCCCAAATTGTTCCATCATTTCTTAAGCTCTACATATAATCTTCAACATTCTTCTTTTAGCTCTACGTATGAGGCAAAGTGGTTAACCCAATGGGCTGTAACAGACAAAAAACTGTTGAGATGCTATGTTTGTTGCAAAAACAGTATAGCATAAATGCAATACCTCAACTGGGAATTAGATGAATATTCCTGGATGAATACCAGGAGAGGGAAAGGAAAAAAAAGCATAGAACTCATACTGTATTAAAGTAAATGATGCATAAACTTATTAGGACAGATTTTACTTAGTGGTTCATTTTTCATACAACTTTGAATCCCCTCTGAATTTCTTTTGTCTTTCATCATCTGTACAGTCAAAAAGCTTTCTTTAGTCCAAAGCATCTTTATATAACTAATTTTATCAAAGAGAAAAAAATAAACAGAATTGGAAGGCAAATTCATGCCTCTAGCAAATTAAATCCTTAGAAACATGCTATGTCTACATTCTGTCACTTTCCATAAATATCTATATTTTTATAAACGAAAGACACTGACTTATTTTAATCCTTTCAAACTGCCTGATAAAATATTACCAAATTAAAACATATGGGATGGAATGTCCTACTGTCACAGTTCAGAATGAGAGTTAGCTAGAGAGTCGGCTGCACAAAGAGAGTTAATGAAGCATTAGCTTAAAACTGAGTAGTAAAACCTGTCAGATGCTTTAAGTTCAGAAGAAATTTTACTTAATATCTTTCTAAGGCCAAAAAGTTATTTACTTTTTCAATTTGTTTCAGGTCAATCTTTTGTGTTAAAAAGAAAGTCCATAATTTAGAATCTGCCTCGCCAGAGTACAAATCCTCTGAACCTAGAAAATTACAAAAGACTTGATTGTAATTTGTGCACGGCATGCTCATTCTCTAACCAATAAAGCTTTCAGATGCTATTTTAGTCTGTCAGGGACCCTCACTGACAGCTAAGAGGCTTTAAAAAATTATTCACTTGAAAAACACTCGGGTTGCTTGCGATTACTTACGCTTTTTCTGTTCCATAGCTCTTATAGTCAATAGCAGCTGAAACTCCAACCACTGTGGCAGGAAACAAGTAACCAGCAACATAGTAATATTTCTTCCTTGAATATTCACTTTCAAAAACTTCAACTAACATTAGATACAGCTGTACACCTTCTAAGCACATCCAAGCAAAAGCCGCCAAAAAGAAAAAGTGTAAAAGTCCTGCAAATATTGGGCATGCAATCTATGATGGAAAAGAACAGAAGACACATGAATACAAATATCCCAATCCAAAACTGTAGAATATTTGCTGACAGTACCTACTATTTCTTTAAAGTACATCATTATTTAGAATAAACTACTACGTCTTCAAAATTTTTTTTCCGTAACTGGAAACCCATTATTAAACAATGCAAAATTTGAGCAGAGTATAATGCTTACAGAATATAATGTCATCTGTGCTAGAAATTTCATTACTATAAAACATTATCATTTCTTAGTGAAATTAAATATCCAGTAAGAGAACATTTCTTAATTTCTCTTGAATTACCCATGATAAAAATCTAAATACTGTTTGGAGATAATATGAAGAACAGTTGTTTGTAAATGTATTATTTCTATCTTTTCTATAACAGAATTTTAAAATTTTGCTTTCATGAAAAACACTCTGGCTCTAATTACCTAGAATTATTTTCCTGTCAAATCTGGAGCATTCTTAAATTCATCCCGGTTCAGATGAATATAAAGTGAAATATGATCTAATTATTAAGTTTGGTTTCTGACACTGAGACTTCATGATGAAAAAACTTCTCTGAATATGTAGAGATGACCACTGGTCAGAGTGATTTTGTAAGCAAAATCTGAATTTTTTGAATAAGACCTTTTCTTTTCAATATCCCTAGAACTCCTCTATTCAAATTACTTGCCTTAATAATTCAGAAAAATGCAACTGTACCTTAATACATGAAATGAATAGTCAGGTTCTGGGATAATATTTTTAACTCAAAATAATATTACTTTCAATAATTTATCTGTCTTTTAATTTATTACAAATTGTCCCTTCTACACTGCTATGTCAATTCTGTCAAGTAACAGGGTCAAACATTAACATCAACATCACATGTGGATTCACACTTATAATAGTCGTTTTTTAGACATTCAAGGCCAATAAACTGAAGGGGTGCTTACCATGTATTTTGTTTTATCAATGCCTATTAAGAAAATAAATTCAGCAATGAAAAGGTTGATACAGAGGTTCTTGTGAATAGTGTTGCGGTCACTCTGTAGACCACGGAAAAAGCAAAAGGTGAAGATGCAGATAGCCAGGCAAACAAGGGAAATGACAATTCCCACCCATGTGATGGCTGTAAGAAGTAATTCATGAACTCCATCTTTGTACTAAAAAACACAAAGATATGAAGAATATTAATATTCCTGGCACCATATCAACTAAAGGAAAGATAGCTTCAAATGTAATACCTCATCTTTTAATATTGAGCTTTTTTGAATAATAATATTAGTTTGTGTTCAAATAGAGCTCAATATAAAAAAGAACTTTTGACCATGTAATTCAGTATTATCTTACTGGATAGTAATATTCGAAGAGTGACCTATGAAAACTATTTTTACCTAGAAAATAATGCAAGAGTCCAATTACATCAAAAATAATGACTGAAATAATAACCTACGTAAACACAGGGAAAATATTTATATGTTAGAATAACTACTGAGTTATGGGTAAAAATAATTCCCATTTTTATTATTTTTTCAGGTCAACAAAGAAACAAAGTTTTTACATTTTTATTTTTTCCCTGAGTTTCTATATTATATTTACATACTAAGAGCTGAATGAACGTACAATAGATTTTAGAGTTTGCATGCTGTATTTCATTTTCTGGCTCTCATTCCCTTAATCACCAAAAGGAACAGAAGAAACATTCCAGAATAGGCATTCTGATTTTTCAAAATTGGCAGCTTTGTATACAGTGTGTACAATTAGTGACAAGGTGTTAGGAAAATTCAAGGGCAGGTGGTAAAATAAGATTCAAACATCTGAGATGGGGAGAGCATGCAAAGCTTTAGGGCTTTCTATCTCTGTTGTATGACTTACTGATTTCCATTGTTTTCCTGACTGACTCCCACAGACACTTGCCAAAAAAATAAAATCTTAGAAGAAGTTACCATATTTTTTACTCAAATAATGCATGCCTTCTGCATTTGTTTGCCGGCTGTGCCTCCCCACCCCCACCGAGGTATTTTCCTAAGCACGCTATGCTAGTCTTTTTTTTTTTTTTTTAACAGTAACATGTGGAAGAGGATTGGCATGGCAGTGCTTGTGAGGGTGCCTTGCAGGGGGAGGGCTCGGCCAGCAAACAAACACAGAAGGTGCGTGTTACTTGCGTAAAAATATGGTAAAGTGCTATCAGAGCACATGGTTTTGAAAAGTAATAAATATAATGCCAAGACTTTCTAAAATACCCTTGATAGTGCAGAAATTCACATTAATTTGTTTGCTTTTTAGTTACGATAAGCCCCCAAAGAAAGGACCATTACACAAGCTGTATTGAATCTCTGAGGTTTTTTCTGCTACTAATTAGAAGTGCAAATACTTACTGCAATTTCCCTGTGGGCCATGAGAATTGCAAAATTGGTTAGGTGGCTGCATGCACACGTTGTACGAGTTTTATTAGTGTCAACCAGCTTGCAGCCCTGGGTAGACCAATATCCCATCATAGTTCTCTCTGAGTAGTTCCAGAAGGAGCAGTTTGCATTGAAATAATTATCAGGCTGGGAAATAAAATGACAAGATAAAATTAGAATTTTACACTCTAAGATGGCAATAGCAATTGTTTAATATGTGTAAAAGGTAATTCAGATTAAACTTTGCATGTTTCGGACTATAAAGTTTTTCATCAGCAAAACTGTGGACTATGTTATACAAGGCAGATGTCTAGCTTAAAAGGGGCTTTATAGTCCGAAACACTCTTAAGTGTACTCTAAATTACCAAAGACCCATTTACACAATTACAATTTCCATCTTATTTTACATACTGATAGTACGTAAAAATAATTTTTCCCCCTTTCTGACAAAATTAGAGCCATGAATTTGCTCTGAGGAAATTCTTTAAAGATCAAGTGTTTAAAAATTTATTTTCAATTTTCAGTCCCTTTCTGGTTGGTTCTAAATGACATGGTAGCAACAATTTGAATCATGTAGTAGTTAGTACCTGAAGGCTCTTAAGAGTAAATTATCTGATGCAGATACAAGAGGAGCACAACCATGCAAATTTATTTTTCCTTGCCAATCTAGAGATCCACTTGGCTATCCACTTATTCACTCTACTTATAACAACAGACAAAAATTCTGCAGACAATCTTTCAACACAGTGGAATAATTTAACTATTGACTTGAATTCTAAGGCAAAGTGGAGGAATCACATCTCCTCAATTCTATAATCTTTAAACACAATGCTTGATAACAATTTTGTCACATGTGATCAGAATACTAATAAAAAATGGTATGCCATGCTAAACATGCAGAATCTTAAGAGTTAATATTTGGCTATCCTGCTGCTAAGGTAAGAGTTAATTTTCACTCTGAAACAAATTAGAGTCATTTACATTTTCATGTTGATTACTGAATTAGCTTTCATTAAGAATACACTTAAGTTCTAATAATCACTGAACCAGGCTCATTTATGTTCACAGACTTAAATAAACTTGTGTTTCTGACCTAGTCTGACATTTAAAATTCAAATAGAAAGGTCCTTTCTGTCCTCTTTCCCATTTCCCCTCTCTCCCCACTTTTCCCATCCCCAGTATATCAATTTTGCTTTCTTTCTTCACTGGTTTTATAACCTTCCCACTAATTCATTAGCATACATAACTTACATCAATGTGTGGCAGGGTAAAAAGCACAGGATCGGTCAAGAATACTCGGCTGGACTCTTTATTGATTGAAACTGAAATGACGTGGGAATTCACTGCAATAGTACTATTACGGCCAATAAAGTCACCACCCAGTTTTATGGTTGCATTTTCTGTACTAAGGAACTGTCCCAGACTTCGGTAAATGATGAACACCAACTTCGCAAGCCCTAGAAAGGTGAAAATAGTCATATGATTTTACAGAAAATATGCTTATGCATAAAATAAGAATAAAATGAAAAAATCTTTATAGAATATTTAGATTAAGTGTATTGAGGAAAAGCAAGGCATTATTTTAAACCTGCTTTAAATGTTAAGCTGTTTTTATTATATTAGGAGTTAAACACTCAACGTTTAAGAATTAATAGGTTGAACTGAACAACAACAACAAAAAACTGTCAATTTTTAAAAGAATATGTTCCATCTTACCGTTCCTGCTGTTCTGTTTCACAGTATTTGCAGAGAGTTGAATCGAACTGCCTGATCCTTTGATGCCCAGAGGAAATTTAAAGTCTTGCACTTGTCCTTCTGTGCTGAGTACTGCAACTTCTAGAACTGGATGAGGCAAAGGGCAGAAGAGGAAGCAAAAAAAATAAAAATAAAAATCTTCGAATTAAAATACAAGAAGGCAAATGATAATTATATGGAAACTGCCGTTGTGGTTTTTAGTTTTTGCTTTCTTGGGGGTCTACTTACAAAACTATCAGATTTCAACAAAATCATAAATGACAAACTGTATTAAGAGGTGTTAAACTTTGCCTTCTCTAAAAAAAATTATTTAATCATTTAACACTTTCTTCACATTTTTATCTTTGTCATAAACTAATTCCAGACTTTTAGCCTATATGAGTATAAATAGTTTGACTTAAATAATTAAACCAAAAACATTTTAAATGATACTATTCATTTTTTTATGTTAAGGAACTTTTCAATGACCATTATTTGGCTGTGATAAAATTAAATATTAAATATAAATTTGAAGCCTTTTTCATGTATATATCAATATCTAAACATGAGATTTACTTTGACATGTAAAATTACAGAGGACAATTTTACAGTGATAGATTTTCTAAACTAGCCAGATCAGCACAGCTATTTATGAGAAAAATGTTGGCATTATGTTCAAACTTCCAATGATTCTCTACTAGTTAACCATCCAGTCTTAGATATTTAAGCCTTGGATGAGGCAAAATAAGACCTGGGCTAAATCTGGCCCACCACCTGTTTTTGTAAATAAAATTTTATTGGAACATAGCCACGAGGACTTCAGCCTAATCCAAAATTTCAAAAGTTCAAATGAGGTAGCAAAAGTGAAAAACATGCAAGGAAAACAATTCAACACAGAGCACTGAAAACACTTACTTGATAAACAAGGTCAATGTTAACTAATTTTGTTTCAAAAATACAATAGTAACTGCCATCACAACATCAATGTGTACTGTCTACTGTTATTCCAATAAAAACTGTGATACTATATCTCAATATTCATTTAACTTTAAGTGAAAAAGAATTATTGTTGCTTCTGTAGTTAAGTACGCTATATTACTAATTAGAATGTATCATTTTATTCACAAAACCAGGGAAATTATACAAAAACTTCATTAATTTTAGATACATAAATCTTAAAAAGTAAAATATACTTTTAACAATAAATAGTCCACACATTTTTTCTCTGAATTTTACTTTCTCTAATGGTGTATATCCTTGCATAGTTATTTCTATGCTTAGACAAACGTAGGTGTCTGCGTGTGTGTTTAGAGTCACCTTACCATGTATATTTATGGAGACATGAAGAATTCACCCTCTCCTCTTCCTTTTACAAAAATGGGCTCATACTATTACAGTGTAACTTCTGGATATTTATTTATTTATTTATTTTATTTTGCTCAACTTTGTTTTGTAAAATGCATACAGACTGAGTTGTAAATATGAGAAACACAGCATATGGAGAAGACCTGTATAAGCTATTGGACCACATGTCAAGCCCCTGAAATTCAAGTTTATACTAAGAGTCATATAATTCCTGAAATTGTATCAGCTGCAGAATCTGGCTGAGATCCTTATTTTATTGATGCACATATGAGAAGATTAAGCAGGTGGGTAGGTGGGTGATCTCCCCTTCTCGCACCAGATTCTATGTCTGTGAGAGGGGGTCATCAGGGGAAAAGAATGACAAGTGAGCTCACACTGAATGGAGCTCTCAATTCCTGGTTATTCTTAAAACAAGACAGAAAATACAACGAATGAAGAAAATCCTTTAAGTTTTCACTTAAGATCTCAAACACAGAACAGAAAATACAATGAATGAAGAAAATCCTTTAAGTTTTCACTTAAGATCTCAAACAGATACAGACGTATAAACAATTTCATTCAATAAATATTTACTTCCAAACTTTAATTTCATACAACAGATACTTACTGATTAGCATTTTAAAAAGCATGTCCATAGTAAAGAAAAATATAACGTTTGCATTTTTAGAAGTTACAGGGTCATTATTAGATATTTTAGTAATTTTAAAACCGTAAAAGAACAAAATAATCAAAGTTAGACCAATAAATTTTAAGAGATTAAATGATAAATTTACTAGAAAAATAAAACTGACCAAAGAAATAAAAATCCCAATAGTTTTATGGCCAATAAAGAAAATGAACTGACAGTTAACTACATACTGAATCTTACAAAAACTGCTCCAGACAATGGAAAAAGAATGCTTGCCAACTAATTTCACAAGATTTGTATAACCCTGATGCATACAACAGTGCAAGGAAAGAAATTATTGTCTATCTTCACTTATTAAAATGATGCAAAAATCTTTATATATATTTATGTATAAAATATTAAACAAACTGAGTTTAACTCAAAAAGGCATATAAGACTTAGCATTAGAAAATATATTAATGCAATAGCCCAAATTAAGAAGCAAAGAAGAAAAAGTAACAAAAAAGAACTCAATAAATTTCAATACCTATTCAATATAAACAATCTTTACAAAATAATAGGAATAAAAGGAAATTTCCTTGACCAGATAAAGGATATCTTATCAGATAAAGATTATTTAATTATAACTTACAGAAAACATACATAATGGTGGGAAAGGTCAGGATGATCCTTAACACTGGTTTTACGTACTACTGTAACTGGAGGGCCTAGCTAACAAAGTAACACAAGAAAAACAAAGTATAAAGACTGGAAGGAAAAGACACACTGCAATTATTCAAAGAAATTATAGTTAACAACATAGAAATGTGAGGAAGTCTATAGACAAACTCTCAGAACCAGTAATCAGAGGAACAAGATTTTAACAAGGTTGCTCTAATTAACAATAGCAAAATCAGCTGTGGTATACATCAAACAACTAAAAACAAACTCGTCGAGTCAATTTCGACTCACCGCGATCACATAGGAAAGAATGAGTTTCCAAGGCTGTAAATCTTTACAGAAGCAGATTGCCACACCTTTCTCCCATAGAGGGTCTAGGGAGTTTGAACCGCTGACCTTTCAGTTAGCAGCCGAGTGTTAACCCCTGTGCCACCAAGGCTCCTTAGTTAAATGATACAGTGGTGATAAAAATCAAATCCAGAATGTGGAAAATTCAACTAGACAAATCATCATTTCAGTTTCTTCAACAAAAATTAAAAAATGCTTTAAAAAGAAGATGTAGGAAGAAATTATCTTTAATTAAAAGAGACTCTAGCAACGTATCAATCAGATGTACTATGTGGATTTGTCTGTATCTTGGTTAAGACAAACAAAATGTCAACAATTTTTAAAAATCAGGTAAATTTGAACACATTTTTGTTATTTTTTAAATGTATTTTTGTTAATTTTTAGAAGGAATAATAGTAATTCTGCTTCATTTTCTAAAGAATATGAGATATGTATTGAAGTATTTATAGTAATAATGATATTAGATTTGCTTTAAAATAATACAGTGATGAGGGTATAGGTGAAACTGGATTAGTGAGATTTTTTTGACGCTGGATAACCAGGATATGAGATTTATTATACTATTCTTCCTACTTTTGTGTATGTTGCAAAATTTTTATAAATGATGATTTTTCTGAAAGCTTTTAACTAATTCATAAATTGGTTTTTAATCAAGATTTAAAACTTCTGTTCTTCCCAAGATATTGTTAAAAAAAAAAAAAGCCTCAGAATGTTTAAAGAATCCTTACAACTTGCTTATTAGATGAAGAATAACCCAATTATAAATGAGCAGAAAAAATTAAACAGACTTCTCATAGAAAAATATGAATAGCCAATAAGCACATATAAAGAAGCTCAACAGTTACCAGCAAAACATAACATAAACACCAGAGAAATGCCAAATAAAACCACAATGAGATGCCAATACATGTCCACTAAAATGTCTAAAATTAAAAAAGAATGCCAATTCTACATGTTGGGGAGGATATGGAGAAACTGGAGCGCTCATGCATTGCCGCTGGAAGCATAACATTTGTAAAGCCACTCAGAAAAATACCAGCTTTATTAACAGAAGCCCCAAAAGTGTAAATAACCCTAAACGTCCAACAATAAAAGATATACAAATTGTGCTATGTCCTTACAATGGAATACTATGCAACAATAAAAAAGGACTGAATGATTCTCAAAAATATTACTCTGAGTAAAAGAAGCCTGACCAAAAAGAGTACATACTGTATAATTCCATTCTTCTGAAGGTCTAAGAAAGGCAGAACTATTTCATTGTGATAGAAAGCAGATCAGTGATTGTCTCGGGCTGGGGGAAGACTGACTACAGAGAAGTGTGAGGGGCCCTTCTGAAGTGACAGAAATGTTGACCGTGATGGTGGTTTCCCGTAAACCAAACCAAACTCCATTGCATCGAGTCGATTCTGACTCACAGTGACCCACAGGACAGAGTAGAACTGCACCACAGAGTTCCCAAAGTGCATCTGGTGGATTTGAACTGCCGACCTTTTGGTTAGCAGCCGTAGCTCTTAACCACTACACCACCAGGGTTTCCTGATGGTGGTTATATGAGTGTATATTGTAAAGACTCATCAAACTGTACACCGAAAACAGGTGTTTTTATTATATATAAATTGTACCTCAAAGTTTATTTTAAAAAGCTATAATCAGACAGAATTATAGTAGATTAATTATGCCATTGTATGGGTTCATTTATTATAACATAATTTATGCCATAGAGTTAAACTAATGATTAAAGAAAAAATCACTAAGGAAGAAAATAAAATTGTTTTAATAACCTCAGATATTGTAGTTATTCCCTAAATTTAGATAAGAACATCAAGAGAGTGAGGACAAAAAGATATAATGGGCTATTTTAGGTCTCATGTCTGAAAAAAAGAGAACAATACACGTTTTGGTAAAAAATTGAACATTTTCCTCACGCAAAATCATGAATAATTGCTTTCACAAAATTATTTATACCATAAGAATTTTTAAAAAGATGTAATGTATTAGAATATATAAAAAAATTTTCATATTGATAATTCTGGAATAATCAACATATGGATAAATTACGTTTAGGGCGTAATAATTGAAAAGTCAGTAAACTGTATACTACACTCTAGAAGAATCTCCATTCATAATGTTCTTTATAAGTTAAAAAATGGAAAGAAATCAATATGAAGAATAATCCTTTAGAACTCTAAAGAATATAGGTATTTGAAAGAATATATTCCTGAATTACTCAAATTGAGATTACAGTATCTCGAACTTGTAATAAAAGTGTTCTGCATACATAAGGCTGATGGGAGCATGGGATGGCATCTTGGCCCCTCGAAGGGGGCAAAATAGGAAAATTTCAGGTTCTATGGTTGTTTTTTTTTTCTATAACTTTTATAAGATTTATTGTCAGTGGAAACATTTGAGAAGTATGTTTAATGCAAATTTTAGGGATTTTATTACTTGTATTTAAATTAACATCAAAAATAAGGATGAAAGCTTTAGAAGAAAGGGAGAGGTTTACTCAGTTTGTATTAAGACAAAGGCTATAGTAAAATATTGTTTTCCATATGACTGGTATTCCAAATGATGATGGGACAAATTATTCTCCACTTCATTTGGTTTGAAGTTATCAAGTGATTCATCATCCCGCAAAACCCACAGTAAATAAAAATAATTTTAATAACTCTTTTTAAAAATTCAGTTATTTAAAATAAATTTCAGGTTTACATTTAGATCCAAGTGTAAATCATAATCTGATTCACGTCCATTTCTTCTATACCTCTTTCTTTTCAGCATTTTATGTAAGGTCCCATTGACATGCAGGCACAATTAGGCTATAAACTACGGCGTCCACATAGCAAGGCTTTCATCAATATCCGCAGCTCTAATAAAGATGGCATTCTTTGTGGGTGCAAGAGTGGTCTGTGTTGCCCTCCCCCCTTTTTTTTTTTTACATTTTTGCTTAGGAGACTTATTACTAAGTGTTATAAATGTCATCTGAGCTCAGCATCACTGAAAATCAACAATTCTAAAGTTGTGAAGCCTAAATTAATATAATTTTACTGTATTTGTTGCACATATTTTCAAAAGTAAATTTCTAACTCTAGGAGCTAGTATTTAAATTCTTAATTATGCTTCAAAACTATCTCAGCTATTTTAGAATCTATGAAGCATGGGCATTCTGCATTAAGGGAGATGTAGTTCACTGATCACATTTTCACCTGAAGGCAGTTCTGTTTAATATACACATTTGGCTCGTGTTCTGTATGGCTAAAATATTTGACTGGAAGAACACATTCCAGAAAGTAATTTAAATTCATTAGAAACATATTATATAAAATAGAAAAGCATCTGCCACAGTTCCATAGCAAGCACTTTCATTACTTAAGCAATCCCTATTCTGGCATTTAAGTACTCTTTACACATTTTTTTTTTCCTCTAATGATTTTCCAATTGAACGAAAAAGCATATAAAACCAACTTTTAAAAGATATACAATAGATTTTGACTTTTGCATTAATTTTGCCAGGTGAGATCAATAACTTCTGTGGGGAACAACGAACATAATTTGACAAAAGAGAAGTTCGGTACTGAAAAATAACTCAACAGTTTCATAAAGGAAACATCTTTCTCTTAAACATCTATCTTCGAAATGAAAATTAAACCAGACAATAGATTCACTTACCAATATTTTCTGTGGGCATTGAAACCCTTGTTGGTTCTAAGAGATTGTCAGCAAGGACAAAAGCTCCTTCTTCCAACGTATCAAGTAACATTGTTGCAGTATGCGCTTGTTCAGAAGAATTCATATGTTTCCATGATTCCAAAGCTTCCGGTCTCAGAAGGTTGTCCACTGTGTCAACAATTGCCTGCATCCATTAGAAAACTATCATTAGTTTTGACTGCTTCTAGCAGCAAGGTGATTTTCAATCACCGACTAGTGACAACTGTAATATTTAACTGTCATGATGATTTACTCTTATTTCAGGATGGAAGAACGCCTAGCCAATATGTATCTGGTTAACTTAAAATATACCTAAGCATTTTAAAATAGGAGTAACTGAAGATTAGCAGACTTGATTATGAAGAATAAGTAAAGAAAGATGGCTTCTTTCTGTTTATCCAATCATACCTTAATTGTTAAAGAGAAATACAAACACCAGTGTCAGCTCTTAACCCAAGGCATTGCTACTGCACGTACTGTTGTCACATTACTAAATTCATTTTACAATCTCAAGACTTGTATGTTCTATAAAAAACACTGATGTCTCTGAAGTAGTCAAATTTTTATCCTTGAAAATTAAACCATATTGCTTTTCAGTACCTAAGCTAAAACAGTAGCCAATATTCTGCCTTAAAGACATGGTCTATTTATGGGACCATTTATATTAAAAAAGGTGGTTTTGAAGTTTCTAAATTATCTGTGAATATTTTCACTCTTCCAATTTCCTGTATAGCTAAAGCACTTGAAAGCATATCCTAATTCATAAATAAGTTTGTTTTTAAAGGAATCAATAGAGCAATCAAAATATTTAAAGTCCATATTGATAATTTAGTAAAAAGAAAAAAGTAGAACAAAACTTTTATAAACATCCATGTTGTAAATATTCACATACGTAGGTTTAGCTTATTAGCATGCAGAATAACATTAAATAAAAATAGAATCCAATCAATCAAATTGATCAGGTAATCAGCTGAAGGCAGGCTCTTATACTGATACTTGTAGCCATGCATTGACTATGCCTTACGGAGCTGAAATCACTGTATTTATTTACTCTATCCCATTTACCTAGTCATAATGTGTCATTAAGCCCATATATAAACTGTTTGATCTACTGGCAACCACTGATGAACAAAAGAACATACATTGTATAAACACCAACAATAAAAACTGCTAATTTGAGGTAGTGTATTAAAATGAATGGGGGGGTTGTTTGAGGCTACTGTCAGAGTAAGATTAATTAGCCTAATCCATCTTAATATCCTCGTTCTGTCTGCTTTGTGAGCCACCACGACCTTCCCGGCAGGTGGGAGATACTTCCAAGTGGCATTAAAGGTTTTTCCTCTCTCTCTAATGGGAGATGGAATAGTCAAAATTCTCACACCGATACTGCTGCAGCCATTAACTAGAATGGAACAGAAATTGGTCTGTTGAGGCCACATTCATTAGTCACCGAGAAATACGGACTGAATCCTCTAATCTAAGTTACAAATGAATCCTCTGTCACAAAGTGGGGACTCGCTTCATTTGCATAGTGTAAGTCAGCTTCTGATTTGTAATTTAAGGAGTTTTATTAGTCTTATCTGAACAGAGAAGCTCATTTGAGACATACTGAAAATGACACTGGTCACAAATTAAGGTCATGCTGAAATTTACTTGCTGATGGCATGCCTTTATTAATTTGAAATACTCCTTATTTATTACCATTTGCACTTCCCTATTGGGATCAAAATGATCATTAGCCTAATCATATTCCTGAAGTAGTCTCTCCCTGCCAAAGAAAAAAAGGCTATTCTTTTCCCACTGAGACATACGTCCTGGGCAACATACCAATTATTACATTTCATACATTAACTAATACCTTAAAGGTGAACTGAAAATTTGAGTATGAAAAATTCTATACACTTCACCAGTTATTTCTTTGCCCCCATTAACCAGGCTAAAAAGGGACTGTCAGTACATTACTACCTAAAAACAGACTTTCCTACAGCCTTTTCTTGTAAAGTTCTCAGGTACAACAATATCTATTATTAATTGGTAAGATGCCATTCTTTTCTATTCCCCACCCCCAGACCTTGCCAACCAAAACTGGTGACGTCACGGCTTTTGAATAACCTCTATTCTATAAAACTACAAAAATTCCTCTGTTTTGTTGTCATACGTACATGGAATAGTTTCAGGTTTGATTTACCAGGAGTATGGTGAGAAAATAACTATCACCCCAAAAGGAACTTCTAAAATTCACAGAACAAAACAAAATGCAACTTGGTATTAGTGTTTTGATCACAAAGAACCAGCGTGGCACAATTCCACTGTTAGCCCCAGCATGTTTCCTATTACTTGGATACTCCAGTAAGAAAAATGGGCTGGAGTGGACAAGGAGCCTGAGCCTGACAATGGCCTTCTGTTCCTATTAGCCTGATAAAAAGCAACACATAACATATATTGTTATCACTGTCACATTATTTATATTTTTTGTCTAGTAACCCATCCCATATCAACCTGATTCTTGAAAAGACTCCTAAATTTTCAGGACAAAGTCTATTTTATTTAAGAGTACACCACAGAGATAAGAAAGCAGTGACTTTTTCATGCACATATGACTATACAGTCTTTGATATGATAAACTGCCAAGAGTATATCATAGCTGTTTTACTCAAGCTGTTTTTTTAATCCACAGAGGTGACAACAGGACACAAACACATTATATGATTACTTTCCAATTCATAGGATATTTCATTAAAATTCTTGTACTTTTGGATGAATGGGAAAATGGCAAAAATTATAAATATATTTGCTTATTCTGACAATATTATACCTGTGAAAAGCCAACATTTGTACAGCTGATATGGGGCACATTATATAATTATCAAAGACTGAAATACATTGGATCATGCAGCAAGATGATAAAGCGTGGCAGGTAGCTGAAGGAGGGAGAAAGCAGGGTGACAGCACAGGAGAGATACCTTAAGGTAAGCCCTGCATGTCTTCTCTCGTTTTTGGAGCTTTTTAGTAAGAGAAAAGAAAATCAGAGGTTAGATTTTATCTGTTGAAAATGAGGAAAAAAGAAATCCTCAAAAATTAAGCTGGTATTTCTGGCTCGAAGTTTATCATGTAAAGTTCTCCGGATTTCTGTGAATCTACACTGACTGCAAAAATTGCTCATTTATATAGTTTTTAAGACATAGTTTATTAAGTATACTAACTTGGACAACGCTAGAGACAAAATATACACTGTGGTTTTAAAAAAAAGTTCATTTTTTTTACCCTGTAGAACCATATTAAGCTACAGAGTTTGGATTCACATGAAACTCATCTAACACAGTGTGGTAAAGTAATCATCAGATTTTTGTCACAGTTGGAAAAATGAACAGAACTACTACCTGATGACTAACGGGGGCAGGGGGAGGGGTTGAGGTAGGTAGGTAGGTAGGGTGTGTGCCCTGGGTGCGGCTTGAGGTGGGAGTGCCAATTAGCAGTGTCTGTTGGCCATCACAGCTTCTATCTCCAGCTGTGAGAGATCATTCAGCAATTTAATGCTAATTGCCCTAAGCAGTATTTTCTGTAGATAGGCCCCTGACTACAATATATTCCTAGAGAGTAAAACTCCCATTGCAAGAAGCAGTATTTCAGTGACTAATATTCTTATATATGTCACAATTTTGCTGCAACCATAAGGAGCTAACACAAAGTCCATCAACTGTATAAAACATAAACTCTCCAAGTGCAGGTAACACATTCCAAAGCGAGTGTATTGATCACAATCAAGCCTATGAAACTGGCCAGCAATTAAGATCTCCCTCAGGTTTATAATTAACATTATTAACACTTTTTTTTTTTTTAATCAACTGCAATTCTTTCTTGGGAAATGAACCAAATTAGAACTTGTGTTTCTATTAGATGGGGGGG